CCGACAAAAAAGTTGTGCTACCATTCCCACCAACATGTTTGTCACAAAAGTGTTACTTTCGCTGATTATAACGAGTGCTATAGTGAGCGCTATATTCTGGGATAAATTCAAACAACAAAATGTATACATTTTCATATAATTTCAAACATTGTTCAAAGTTATTACAACTATTTTCTCACACATTTAGTCCATAAGAGTTTGCTTTAATTCCAACCAAGCTAATGTTGTGGTAATGTATTTATTATTATAGTAGTCAATAAATTTAATTCATTAAATAAATAATTACTTTATTTAGAGCCAATGTATTCTGTGTAATAATAACGTTTATAACCTGGCTGTAAGTATCGTGTAATTTAATAAATATAATTACTAATGTAATATCTAAATATACTTTAAATATACTTTTATTTGCTAACAGTCAATGGCATGTACGGGATCGGTATGTTATTTGAAGAAAGTGTTCATAAATAGGTTCCACAATACAATTTTATGCTATTTATGATGACCAGGGATCAGTACCGCCCAACACCAACTACACACAAATGCTATGTTTGATTCAAAGGTGTCAACTAAACCAGAATCAAGTGGTGATCGGAAACGGAAGGAGGAAACGGAGCTATCATTCCAGTGATAATCGCTTTAAGGATTACAAACAATTCATACTTAAGACTGAGTTCACGGAAATCGATGATTTGGATTAGAAAATAGATTATTTGGACACAGAATCTGATTGTAACAGAATATTCCAGAATTATTATTATTATTATTATTATTATGAATACTATTCACATAATTATACATTGAATTCATGTCAAGTGAGCTATTGGTGAGATTCGGTTGCTTTTCACGTTTTGTTTGATGTTTTTATTGTAGTAATTGTTAATAAGTAACAAATAATGGCAGATATGATGGATAGCATCCGGGGAGATGTCTTACCTGACATACCAGTCCTTGTATTCGCACAAAAGCCACACTTTCATGGAAAAGTTGAAACTTTACATAACTTTATCGACATTTAGCTATTAATTGACGGCAGAAAATAAATACAAAATTTCTTTTTAATTCAACTCTTTATTTGTAATAATTATAATTAAATATAAAATTAGAAACACGTCTTAAATAATAAAAGTATTGAATATAAATAACAAATGTTTTGTTAACTTTTACTTTTGAGATGTTTTCGCTATAAATTACTTGAAATACTGAATTCACATATAGTTTTGTATTGAATGTCGAGAAATAAGTTGTTATGAAATAAATGCATGTCTTATCTCATGATTAACTCAAATGATTGAACTTAAGCTGCATTTCAAATATTAATTGAATTAAATATTTTTGGTATACAATAGTTAATGGGATATTCATTGTATTGTTTTTTGTTTGTTATGTATTTCACTTATTATATTAATTAAATATTTTTATTATTGTAATAAATAGTTTATAATAGTTGTCAGTGTATTCTTATATAATTATATATATATTTATAGAGATTTATTATATATTTCTATAATATTATAAACGAATGATTCATATGATTTGTTTTAGTCTTATTTTCTCAATAATATTTAGAAATAGCAAACAATTGATTAAATTATGTTTTGTGTTTTGAAGCAAACATTCATACATTTCATTGAATCAAATGTATTCGTGGTTTGTTTCAAAAGCTTTTCCGTAAATATTCAGTAAAAATTCATAAATAACTTGACGATCAAAATATCAGTTTTTCATAGAGAATATGAGTTATCGTAACAATTAAAAACACATGAATCTTATAAATTAAATCATAATTCAATAGTTAAATAAAAAAGGAAAACAATTATATATATTATATAAATGGAGTTATCAATTGTGATGAGCTTTGATTATATCAAAAAAGTTATGTATTCTTAATGTTTGTGTGGATTTGTGGCTAAAATATAGATATATTTCTCACGGATTTGTTTGACACCGAAATACAAATACAAACGCAGAGAAAGTATGGAAACGAAAAAACACTTCATATAAATAATTTGCAAACAAATCATAATTAATCAAAAAAATTGGTTTAAATTTCGGAAAATTTCAAAACTAAAACAAAACAATTATATAAAAAATGAAAACTCAAGTAAAAATAGTTTTTTATTACATTTGTATGTTTCGTACATCGACTGTATGGTTGAGAAAAAAAACTATTTTCCAAAACAAAAACTTATCTATAAATATAACACATAATATGTAATAATAATAATAATAATAATAATAATCATATAATTAATAATTAATAGCAATAAATCGATTAGTAATTCATTATTGGGTTAACTATTATTCAGTTTATACGGAGAATATGTGCGACTATTTTGCAGACAAACAAAAGGGAGAGAAAAAAGTTTTACAAAAAAGTTTTTTCTATCAAAAAAAAGTGGTTTTAAAACTAATTCAAAAGATCGATGTTATGAGAGATTCTCTGATGTAATGAATCAGACATTTGGCATAAAATATATATTACTTTTTGTATTGTCGGATGAGAGGGGGGAATGGGATCACAAGTAAAGCCTAATTCATAATCTACTGAATTGTTGCACAACTTCTATATAAAAACAGATGGCGTTACCTATGATTACAACTCAACTCACGCGTTATAGTTAACTATAAAAAACTAATTAATAATTAAATCAACATTTTAATTGGCGACAATCGGGCTCATTTTTTGCAACCCTATGTCCCAATCGTTTAGGCAGTACTTCAATGTGTGTGTCGACTGACTGTCAGACAAAGTAGTATTGAATGCAATGCTATATTAATAATAGTCTCCTCTGAACGACAGGTCAACCGATTTTGAGCTAAACATTGATTACAAACTAATATCTATCGATAAAATTGTAACTCATTTTGAGAGAAACCCTTTTATAGCCATCCGTACGGAAAAACACAAAGTCTTAAAGCATTTGTTGGAATCACAAGTAATACTGACATTCATTATGAAATTAGTGCCAATCGATTATATAAGTTATATAATTTCCATAACAATACCTGTATTTATTAAATATATATTCAATATTGATATGCATTTGAAACGTAGAAATCATTTTTAATATTAAAGCAAAAATACATATTTGAGACCAAAATATAGTGTGTGTTTTTAAAGTGAAAAACAATGGTTTTTAAATTGAAATAAAAAGCGAAAACAATAAACAAAAAGTCAGATTATTTTGCAAAAACTAATGCAAACAATAATTTAAGGGTTGACTAGTAGTACAGGAGTAGTAGTAGTAATCATAATCATAATACAATAGTTATGCCAATTGGGAGAGACAACAAACATTTGATTAAATAATGAATAATAATAATAATAACTAATAATAACAACTTATAAAAAAAATAACTAAATAATTGAATTTTGCATCTTTATAAAAAAACTAATAATAACATACAATCAATAATAATAAGTGAAAAGCTATTGAAAGCGAGAAAAACTTAAACAAAAGGTGCAAAACATACGAGACATTAGCGGATAGTATGAGGGGTTAAGTAAGCGGTAATTCATTTGTTGGTCACTTGTCTCGGATTATAAAAACTGATTGACTAGCGATTCATAACAAATAATATTAATAATCATTTCATATATAAAATGTCTTTTTGTGTGTTTTGTATTGTGTAGTCTTCATAACTAACTAAAATTAAATAAAAATAATATTAATAATAATAATAATAAATAATAATTAATAAAAATAATAATAATAAGCGGATAAACAAAGCAATCAAATATTAAAAGACAAAAAAGACCAGAAAATAATAATAATAATCATAAAAAGTAGTTAATAATCAATAATTAATAATAATAATCAATAATAATAATAACAATATATCAAAATCCATATCAATCAATGATTTCTAATAGGTTTCTCTCTGTCTATCCAATCAGTAACCGCTAAATACGACCACAAAACTAACAATTTGTAAAAAAGTTATTCAATTATTGCTTTTTCATAAGCAAAACGATTATACGATTTGTAATAATAGTAATAATATAATTATTGACCAAAAAAATTTGCATCTCTTTTATCGCTTTTTAAATATCGATTGATATATATATTCATAATATTAATCATAATAATAACGTGTATTTTGTATTTATTTGTGAGGACAACAAACTTAGTATCAAATTTTCAATATCTCATCAATTCATCAATTAGTTCATCGATTGTGTGAATCAAAAAATCTTCACTCAAATTATTATTGAATGCTTTTTGCGAGACATTTGTATAATTAATAAACAGTTTACAACCCGAGCGGTGGTCACCAATTGAACATTGAGTCTACTTTTGACACCAACCACTGGGTTATTGTTAATGTATTTCATTAATATATATAAAAAAATAAATAATAGAATTACAAAATTGGAAAATGCAATCAATAATATACTGTATAATCAATAATAATCAATAAGTTATATATAATAATTGATCCCTTAATTCGAGTGAGAATTTTTCAAAGTATTTCTCAAAATTGTTTTTCTCTATTAATCAATAATTCAACGATAATTTGGCGCTAAATATATAGTTAATAATTCAATAATAGTATAAATATTCTTCCAAATAAAAAGGAAAACCACAAAAAATTGAGTTTCGGTTTTGCATTAAAAAAAACATTCAATTCAATAGAGGTTTTTGATCGCAAAGACTAATGAATGGATGAATAAATCAATTCTCGATATAATAAAACAAAATTCAAAAACAAAAACAAAAAACACGTGAAATAATGTCGTCCGAGAGGGGGAGAGACAACGTATTAAGAGAGAGAGTGTATGGTATGGTGTGGTATGAGTGAGAGAGAGCCAGTAGTGAGGGGAGAGACACACAGTGGACACCACTCATCATAAGAGATCGGGAGATATAGACTTCGAATAATCGTATGGAAAGACCGTTTGTATTCATTGTGTGCTATAAATGACCACAAAATGCATTGTCTTAACAGATACCAGAGGCGGCCACGGCCGCGGCCAACGACTGCAACTGGAGGTACCGGTAGATGTAGATGCGGTAGTCCTTGGAGGCCAAGACGACGGAGTTGTCATCCATGAGGGCCACGTCGAAGCACTGGGCGTGTTTCACCTTAGACTCGAGCGCGTTCACGAGACACCCGTCCTGGGTGAAGATCGTGATGTTGAAGTTGTTGTGATTGTCGGCCACCAGTATCTCCCCGGCCTCGTTGATGCAGACGCCGATCGGGTAGTTGGTGAGCCCCTCGCCGCCGATTTGGCGCAAAAAGTTGCCGTCGTATGAGAACACCTTCACGCAGTGCGCCCGGTTGTCAGATATGAAGATCTCCTGCTTGTCGTTCACCACAACGCCGTTCGGGAACTCCAAGTGCTTACTGCACCCGAACTTCTGCAGGACGTTCCCCACCTGATCGAAGATTATGACACGCATTACCTGTCAATCGAAAGCGACAAACCATTCATTAGTATTCAATCAGACAGTGAGAGCCGAGTGAGTGTCAGCCATACCTTGCATTCAACGACAATAATGCGTCCCTTGTTATCGACGGTCACACCGCGCGGGTGCTGCAGAATGTTGGCGCCAAACTTGCGTACAAACTGTCCGTATTGGTTGTAGATCTGGATCTGATGGGTGGGCGACCGCTCCGTCACAATGATGTCGCCCGACTGCTTGACAACAGCCACGCGGTTGGGGTACAGTAGCTGCCCGTCGCGTTTGCCGCACTCCCCGAACTGGAACTTGAATCGTCCCTCTTTGTCGAAGATCTGGATCCGATGGTTGTTAGTGTCGGCCACTATTATGTCGTTCTGCGCGTTCACCGCCACTCCTATTCATACCAATCCCCAAATAAAACATATAATCAATTAATAATGAAATATAAAAAACAAATCCTTTTTTATTTTATTTTGTTTTTTATATCGCGATTCAAACCATAAGCCCAAAGGTTATGGAACTCCGGAGAGCCTAACGTTAGATAAAAAACCAAAACAACGAAAAAACAAAACAAAACAAAAAAAGCCATAAAAGCAACAAAAACTGAATGCCATTTACCCGACGGTTCGGTGAACTGGCCCTCCATTACACCGAACTCCCCGAACTTGCAGTGATATATCATTTTCTGGCGTTTGATCTGCGATTTGATGGGCAGTAGCGATGAGGCGGAGATCAGTTTGGCGGACAAGTCGATGACGGGGTCGGACAGGGCGTTGAATTGCTCGGTAAAAGTGGACGACCCGTTCGTGAAGAGAGCAGAGTCGGGCGACGAGCCGGACCCTCCACCGCCACCTCCATTGCCGCCACCTATGGACCACTTCTCGTAGAACATGTTCAACGGGTCCTGAATGGAGGCCGAGCTGAACGACCGGATGGACGAGTCGTTAGCCGACGAGTTGCTGGTGTTGGATGTGAACCGTTTGGACAGCAGACTGGCCGTCGAGTCGAAGCCGTTCTGGTAGATGGAGGCGGACGACGAGGACATGCCATTGGGGCGACTGATTGGCGGCTGTTTGCCATCGCTAGACGACGACCGGATGTAACCGAATGTGTTGCGAATGCCGACCTATGGGTGCAAAACAGTTGCCAATTAATTAATGTCTCGTTTTGTTTATTATTATGAAAATTAAGTTCAAAATAAAGAGACAATTAAGTTGAATAAACTCATAAAACACTATATAATGCTATATAATACACACAAACACTACAGCATATACTAGTAGTCAATAATACTTATTTGTTATCCAACTCTTAATTCCTCGAAAAAGTCAACAAATTATAACTCTATTTAAATCCTAATGTTATCAACAATTACATAATCACTCCTATTTCGTCACCAAAATGTTTATTTAAAATATTTATAGTTTTTATTATTCAAAAAGTTCTCAATGTTTGTCAGATAATCAGTAAAAATGAAAATAAATTTAAAAACTCGACAACAAAGGCAAACACAAAATGGGAAAATGAATTCAATTTAACATTTATAGCATTATGTTTGCGGTTATAGTGTACCACGAATTAGTCAACAATTATAAAAATATTTTATATGCGGTTATGTCTCCACATAATGATCGCGATTACGTATCACTAGAACTGAAACAACAAAAAAACTTTTTATTTCAAAAGTCAAAGACAAGAGAGAAAGAGAAGGAAAGGTATTGAGGAGTGAATGGAGTGGAGAGAGACTCGAGTCATGAACTCTTCACATGTTATTAGAGTTTAATAATACGGCAAACGAGAGAGAAATGAGAGGAAAAATTCAAATCGCGTGACAAAAGACATGGTTTGAAGAAAATAGTAATAATAAAAACGATATTAAAAACTGCTTATAAAGACTATGAAACTCTTAGAGAAACTCTAAACTGTGGTAAAGAAATCATTGTATAAAACACACAGACAGTGCACAAAATGAAACCAAAAACAATAAATAAAAACACAATTAAACATGAATTTAAAACTTTATACTTTTGAAAAATCTAAATTTGGAAATATTAGGAAAAATCGAGTAAATGGTTTAAATTAAAAGTCACACAAAAAACTGTTTAAAACGAAAAGCGATAAACAATTATTCGTTAAATGAAATTAAAAGGAAAATTAAATAATTGTTTACAAGAAAAGAGAGAACTTTGAACTCAATCCGCAAGAGAGAGAGAGAGAGAGAGCGAGAGAGCGAGAGAGAGACCTTAAGAATGATATAACGAAATGAAATACTTTAGAGAAATAAAAAGTAATATAAATTAATTGAACTTTTAAAGAGAGACAATTACGTTTGTGTTCACAATACTAACAAATAAAACTTATTTTTGTTTCACTCGTAAGACTAATATTTGCCGTAAACTTAAACATAAGTCGAGATTATTTTGAGATATACTTTCATTTACGATTTACAATAGAGGGGAAAATATGAAACTTATATTTATATGAAATACAATACAAATAGCATAGAAGTGAATGCAAAGCACACATAATGTAATATCTATACAGCGATAAAGTACAGTATAAGCGGACGTTAACCACAGTTTTCTTTTTCTACAAATAAGGCGTTAACACAGACTTTGAAATACTTTAACTCATGAGAGATAAACAGCAAACTCTCAGCGAAAATGAAAGACTCATACAATTTGCCACCAAATCGATTGCAATTACAATCTCGCACTCCATTCAAAGTGAACGGCAATTGCTATAAACTAAACCCCGAAATAGCTATCAACACAAATCAAACGCCAAACTCTCCGTTTGGCTAAAATATTTACCAATCAAATGGCAATCAATTAATTACACTCACAAACAAATTATAAATCAAAACCCAAACAAATTCCTGTGAATAGCAATACTATAACAGAAAGTAAAAGTGCAATAATCAGTGCAATAGTGAGATAATCGCTAAACAGAGGACTCCGACTGTCAGTTACATAACATATAGTATTGCATGAAATCATTGCACAAATCTCGAGAAAACTTCTTTTTGGAGCTCAGGTTTCAGTCAATCATACGAAAGAGAGACATGAATATGAATCCCAATACTGACTCAAACGCTAGCAATTAATGGTATTTCTCTCAATTAAATCACTCATCGGATCTTAAAGCAACACTTTTTGTGGCAAAAAATGTTTATTCAATAGAATTGAAGAAAACTGCAAAAAGTTAATTAGTTATCAAATCATAGGCTTATTTGGTTTGATATGAAAAAAGGAGTCAAAGAAAAGGTCAATGAATTTGTATTTATGCAGACATTACGAGTCAGTTGTAAAGAATCGCGAGAAATATATATAAAAAACAAATTATATTGAAGTTTATTAGCATAACGTGAATGCAATCAAACAAAACATAATACGCTATTCCGAGTTGAAAATGTCTGCAAAAAACAATAATAAACTTATAATAAAAAGTATATTAATAATAATACCGATAAGAATATTAGCGGAAAAAACACAAATTCTGTCACAAAATCATTAAACTGCTAAATAAGGAGATGAATAATTTGGGGAAATTTTGTGACTAATATATATAGATTAAAGACTGAAATACAGAAAATTACAGAATTTCTGTGAAATACTGTTTCAACCAAAAATCGATACCAAAAATTCCCAATAATTTTAGTGTCTATTTAGAGCTACATTTTATGGCATATTCAACACTAAAAATCATTTAAAGCCTTTAATTCTGTGTATTATATTCATTTAAAAGACTATTTAAAAAACATATATAGCTAAAAGTGAATTAAAACACACAATAAATTACATAAAACTATCATTTATACCAAATGTTGGCATTCAATACACCACTAATTCATTAAATCATTGGCAGAATTAGTTTTGAAATGTTTAATGCTTTTATTATTTAAAAGGCATTTAAACGCATAAAAAGTATTAAAATGAAATGCAATTCAAACTAAACGACAAAAAATGATTGTCGACTGAGAAAGACATAAAGAGTATAATAACCATTGGGTTCAATATTCTTGGCTTTTTGTGGGAAAATCAGATTTAAGGCATAAATTGAAATCTAAACAAACATCTAATGGGAAAACAAAACGCTATAATAAACCGAAAGGAAAACCATATTTACGACAAAAATATCATATATTAAGAGATTAAGTATTGGGTATTAAGTCGGTATTTAATTAATAAGTGCTTTTGTTGTGAAAGTTTGCTAAACAGGAAAATAACATTTTCAGACATTATTTGTCTTATGATTAGCGCGAGAGAAGCCATTGCCTCGGCATCTGTGGTCTTATATTTCATAACTGTTTTCTGTTTTTACATACGATTGCAAGTCATTCATGAGATGTTGACTCGAGTTTTGATACATTATTTATTACAAAAACAGACCATTCGTTGGCTGTGGAGGAGAGCGAGAGAGAGGGAGTGGAGGAGAGAGTGGAGGGAAAGGGAAGGGAAGACCAAAACCAATGCACTATCGGAGACAAAGACAGACAAAGAGACAGACATAGAGCGCCTGAATGAGACAAATACTGATTATAACTGCGAGGGAGAGAGTAGAGAGCGGGGAGAGAGAGAGAGAGAAAGAGAGAGAGAGAGAGAGATGCGGAGGGGATGAGGGGATCGGGAGGAAAGAGAGAGCAGCAGAAGAGGAGAGTGTTATTCATTTGGTTGAGAGTGAGTCCAGACGTGTGTATCGATGGCCGGGGATTAAAATGTTTTTCATTCGCAGCTTTCACTGCACTCTCACTCAGATTAGTGCCAAATTGGGGACACAGACAGACATACACGGCATCCACACCAACACCACCTTCCCTTTCATTAAAACTCTGAACGCTAGCCATCACTCATATGTATCCCTCGCTAACTCGTAACCGTACGAACGGAAAGGCCCTCTACTCCCTCTCCTCCCGTTCCCCCAGCCTATTTTGAAGGCTCTGATCAAAAGCGTTGGGCTTTTGTTTACAAAAACGTTGGAAAATAACGAAATGTTTGGCTATAGTATAGTCTCTCTATAGTCATAGAAAACGCTGAACCGTACTCAACAATGGCTGGAAATTTCCATCTGAACGCATGCCTCCCAGTCGTCAGTCATTGAACACAAACACATATATATCGGAAAATACTGTTTCTCTATATAGTTGGCAGTGCTCTCAGACAACGACTCTTTTTAATCAACTATTTTCGACTAAATCGATGCGAACTTGAACTCAATATCACAGTTTGTGTGCGAGAGAGGGATCCCTCGCCTATGGCATGCCATACACACAGCCATACCTACCCGTGTCTATCACCATATCTACCATACCCTTACCCCTCAGCATACCCTACCATCTACTGATAATATGCAATCAGATCTCACACATCGGTATAGCATAGCAGACAACAACACAAACACAATAACAAATGCAAACTCTTGAGCGCATACCTGAATGGCCTGATAGTTGGAGACGAACTCCAACTCGTGGGAGGGTATGTTGGCGTCGGGATTGAAGTTAAGTATGGCCTGGAGTTTGCCGTCGATCACCGACTTGTATTGGCTCAGCTCTGAACTCGTGGCGAACTGTCGCGTCCGGTCGACGAAGAGGGAGATCTGTTGGGTCTTCTGGACCGCCTCTTCCACTTTGGACGTCAACAGAGTCAACGACACCATCCGGGAGTTGAAGATGTCGTCCAACTCCTTGAGGAACTCCCCTTTGGTCTCCTCGAGAGTAGACAAGTAGAACTGGTAGGCCTCGGTTATCTCCTGCTGGGCCTTCTGGTGCTGCGCCTGTAGTCTGGAGGTGACCCCATCCAACGTCTTGAGCGTATGGGCCAACTCTCCCATCTTGACCCGGCCCTCGTCGGCCATACGGGTCAGCTGTTCGGTGGCCAGACCTCCCGTTCCCCCTCCGTTCCCACTGCCGCTACCGTTGCTGTCGGTCTCTGCGCGCCAATCCATGTCCGCGCGTCTCCCGTGCGATGACAAGTGGTGTCCATTGGTGTCGATGCCGAGGGGAGGGCTGACACTATCGGCCGAAGTGGTGGTAACTGTGGTGGGCGGACACCCGATGGGCAGCACCTGATTGTTGGCCGACGTGCTGGTGATGAGCTCAGCGGCGATGTCGTTGATTGTGGTCAGCGAACAGGTCGATGACAGCGACACTGACGATGACGATGACAGTGTGGCCATCATTTCGGATCAGTTTATCAATTGGCAGTCAGTGGTGGCGATGATATACACAGTGGTAGTGGTGGTGATCAATGGCAGTCAATGCGATGGCAATGGCTTTGTCTATGAGTTACACAACAATAGTGTGAAAAACTAGTTTCAAATGAAGACAACAATGAAGAGACAACGGATGCGATGATAGACGATGGGTGGCGAAGAAGTGAGACAATCGGTGGTCACTTTCGTGCGGCGATTAGCAAGACATGAGACTTGGTGAGTCTCAAAAGTGTTTGTATTTGTCGTGTTCGTTGTGTCTCACGTACTGAACTGAATGCGTGAATGCATTGGAGAAATGAATGCAATATTTTCGGTGAACAAAAGCACTGACAAACACTTCATGAACAAACTGTGAGCTGTGTTAGAGTTATAGCGCTCTCACTGTATGTAACACTGTGTTCACTACAGTACAGCTCGCGTACGCCAATAGCAGTCATCGTATCCACACAACACTACTATTCCCTCTCAAATTCAAACTCACTCCCAGCGCTCCCTCTCTTATGCTACGCCTATGACTCTCGGGGTTACTCTCGAGCGCCGCACTCACTCCCCATTCATATACACACATTGTGTGTGTCTTTGTCTGTGACTCACACACACCACCAAAACCAAAGCCATTGCACTCACTCTCACACAACAGCCAACTCTCCCTTCGCTTTCAACTCAACCCGCGTATAGAGTGGAGACTCATCGCTGTCGAGGACACCATACATACCCCCCAATGGCCAACACAGACCTATACTAAACACATACAAACTCTACCAATAGGTTTATTATGATATAACTGAGCGAGTACATAGTGTCCAGTAGTTTTAACCGGTTAATTTTGTGTATAATTAAGGTTTGTGTGAAGTTTGGTCCGAAAGCAACACTCTATAAGTGGAGACAAGGGCTATAAATAGTGCCATTGAACACACCCTCACTCACAGACGGCACACCCCTTACCCTTGATTGCTCATGGACTCGACCCATGCTTTACGTTATGAACGCTTATTGAACGCACAGTAACTTCAATGTGTGTTATATGTTGTAAAACCCCACCAAATACTATATGCCATACAATCAGTACAACAAACTGTGCGCTCAACGAAAGCCCAATTATCGCATACGTTATGAATATTATAGCATTTTGTCGGTTAAAGTCAGTTGCAAACCGCGAGACACGCATACAATAGGCCATTGATAAGCAAAAATTAAAAGTTTATAAACTTTTTTCCATTAATAATAGCCACACAAACGCCGGTAATAGTCGCGGGGTTTGATTGGAGTTTATTGTTTTTGAACAAAAATCTTCACATTTTTCATATCGTATCGCAAATGCTATGCTCTTTGTATGAGTGAAGTGTGTAGTGGGGGTTGAGTTTCGGGGGGCGGATTGGGGTGATTGGGTCGCACAGAAATAGCATTCAATGAAGGTTGCTATGAATGTAGGGGTGGGCGGGGGAGCTGTAATATGTCTGGGTACAAATATAGTTACAATTATATTAATCATGGTATTGTTTTTGGGGGCAATATATGCTACGATCACTATAATTATGTTACATATGATTGCAATTAATTGATTGCACACGAAATTGCAGCTAAAATGACATAATATACTATATATTTGCCAAAAATATTAGTCTCTTATATAACATAGCATAGCATTTGTCTCTCAATGAGATATATTTCAGTGTTTAGGCAATCGTGTAGTAATAGTGTAGAAACCCCGGGAATCGTAGGGTGAGAGCACTGGTAGTCTAGAATGTTTTCAGCGAGAATTTTGGCTAAAAATCAATTGATTTTGTCATTCATTATAATAAGGCGATAGTCTATTGAGCGCACAGTTTGGGTCCACTTTTGTAGTGATTTTGAGTCTCACTTTAGTCTGAAAATCTCGGCTTTCAATGAGCAATGAGTCGCTAATTAAACACAAATATATTCAATACGGCGATCGATACATAGCACACAAAATGATTAGCGGTTTCTGAATGCAAATATACGCCAAGATTCTGGTGATAAGAATCGGCTAAATATAAACAGACAATCATTTGATGGATACAGAGGTTTAGCGCAAATAAGTTCAATGAATAGTACATTGGTAATTAGCTTTTATTTCATATTATTTAAGCTATTAACAGCCATAAACAGTAATACATATGATAGCTAAAGCTAATAAATATTTGCCATTATCAAAATTGCTTACACTAAACGTATAAGTTTTCAATTATGTATAAACAAAATTAAATATATATTGACGTAAAAATTGCGATAAATATACTTAAAAATGTTTGTATTAAGTGCATTGGATGTGAATAAGTCATTGTATCATGTTGAGAAATATACTGAATTAGTTGTTAATTTCTAATCGGTCATTGAGATGATATATTGACACCCTTGATCATTTATTAAATAAACATAGCCAAATGTCAACATAAATGTATAGTTTTCTAACAAAATATAATTTATTCATAGCTTTAATCGCATATATCATTAATTTTTCATTTGTAACGTATATTCTTAGCATTAAATGTTAATTTAAATATTTATTTAGTTTTCATTAATAACAATATTTTCATACGAGAAATATTATACTCGCAAAATATATAATATTAAAGTATATTATACTGATGACCCGTTCATTGCTATACAAATTAATAGCGAATTATACAGATATCGTAATGTGAGCTTAAAAACAACAAAAAAGTTAATTAAAAATTTATTTTCCAATTTATTTTCAAAATCTAAGACTTGATTTGTCATTCACTAAAACGAGTATATAATGGAGAGAAATATATACACAATATATAAATGCATTGTATGAATGAGATGGAGATAAGACACAATTTTTGAGCACAATTATTACAAAGCAATCTAAATGAGAGAAAACATCTCCAAATCTCTCTCAAATATAATAGAAAAATATGTATAAATAATAAACAAAAAATAGAGTTAATAACAGCTTCATAACCTCTTTGAGGTTTGTGTTATTTTTTCAATGTAGTGATGGCTATAAAAATATACACGAAATTAATGTCAAGTTTATGTATAGAGAATGGAGTGAAAGACAAAAGGATAAGAAAATCTCATTCTTTTCTCTCTTATATCAACGACTAGTATATCATATATTTCTTGAAATGAGTTTTTAATGAGAGAGACCTCTCTCTCTCTCTCTCTCTCTCTCTCTCTCTCGCACTCATTTCCTCTCGTGTCTTAACAAACAGAGATAATATAAAGCCCTAAGTTACTCTAAGAGTAAAGGTAGATATGACAGTAATAACAATAATAATAATAAGTATACCTATAACGAATTCTTTAACGTAAAAACATGTTGAAGTCTGCGATACTTAATGACGGTCAGTGAGATGCCACATATCAATTCAATTGAGCCAAACACTAGCAATATAGCGGCTAAAATATGGTGGTTGTTGACCAGGGTCAGTGTTAATGAACCGCAAGCGAGTGTCACAGCTGAACACAGTATCACAATTGTGCTAAATTTATATTTTCTCCAAACGTTCATTTCAATTGTAATTATTATTAATATTAGGCTTTCCTTTCCTTAACGAATGCCGCAATTGGTTCATTCAAACCATACATAAATCGTTTGATTCATTGAGTTTCGCATCGTTTTATATGAAGAGAAACCAAACGGATTCGTGTTTGATGTCCAGAAAATGTTTTCAATAAGGTTTTTATCACTTTTTGAATAAATATAACAAGTCTTTCATTGTGTCGAAACCCAATTGAATGTGAAAATTGAATGTTAAAATAGTTTGAACACTACTTTTTATGTATATTTTTCAATAGAATGATCACAAATATAGTGTAAAATATTTTATATTGAATTTATGTTAAGGGATGAGTGTTTTCATTGAATTGATTTCCGTTCGCTCCCAATGTCTGCAAAATGAATACAAAAATAATAAATTTAATGAACAGTATATTCATATTTTCTAAATTGGAAATTATAACAATTTGATAAATACTATATATTTATAGTTTGTATAGAAATTAAGAAAAAAAACTCAATGTTATGTATATAATCAAAAAGGATATACGATGTGAGACTAAAACAATAAATATTGTGCAAAACATTATGCTAGCACAAAAATTAATTAGACATTTATGTTATACAACACACAGAATATATGCTGTAAATTGATGCCAACCGTCTAATTAACTCAAAACTTACACAACAACAAAACAATATAATCATTTGAATTTTGTTTGCATTTACCCTGAATATCATTAAACTGAACGGAGACAAAAAACGTAACCAGAAATGAGTTTTCAATTTAAATAATATTATAATAGTGTATATTATATTATGATAATTTCTTGGCATTTTCTTTTTTACTCGTTTATCTATGTTTGGAGCAAATTGTTTGTTGTCTAAGACTGTTGNGTATTAAACCCTAACAGGTATTTGGCATATATTCAAATATAATTGCATAGATAAGAGTTAATCCATAGATTTCCATGTATTCCCCTCAAATGTTTACTAAAGTTAATTTTGCATTGCACAGTAAAATGAACATTCACATATTTAACGGAATTTGTGATTTATTGATAACAATATTTAATTTTCATTGGTTTGCACTGTTATAAAATATTACTAAATTAAAGTTTTTGAATTAGAACTTTTAATATAAAATAATGTTTCTATAAATCTAATATTTATATTTTAATTATTTTATCATATAACAAATATTCTGTGTTTAAACAGTTTAATTAGCTATGTTTTATTTTTCATTATTTTGTATAATACTGTAATAATTAATTTTCTAATTTTAATGACCAATTATTTACAAAATAGCAGTGATGTTAAGTAATATAGAAATATAATTATATTAAAATCTAAAGTTTTACTTAAATGCACTCTACTCTATATTCACAATTAGTTGCAAAAATATCTATTTGTGTTTGTATTTCAATAAATTTCTCTTTCTTGAATTGTTGTTTACAGTAAACGATAATTTTGT